TTTAATGACCTAAAGCAAGATATAAGTAGAATAGTTAGAGAAATGCTAAGTACTGCCCAAGAAAAAACAGATGGTGGAATGGAAGAGCAGAAAAAAAGGGGAGAATTGTTTGATGGAGAAAAAGGGAAAACATAGACTAAGTGAAGCAGGTTCAAAAAGATTACTAGGAAACTAAAAACTCTATTGAAAGCTGGCATAACAGCTTGAAATAAACTAAGGATAGATTATCTGAACTGGAGGACAGATTTGTAATGTGGGGGCATGAAATGAAAAACTTTTTAAAAATAACAAGGAAACAAACAGCAATAATACAAAGGCTAGAAGATGATAAGAGGATCTATAACTTAAGAATTAAGAACATAAAAGAAGAAGTAGGGACACAAACAAATGAACTACAAAAGCTATTCACAGAAATAATCCAGAAGAATTTCCCTAATTTAGCAAAAGGTAAAGATACTCAGATGTATGATGCATACAGGACCCCAGCCACCTACAACCCAAACAGAGCTACACCCAGTCATATAATAACTGTCCCTAGAAATTGATGGAAAAACAAGGTGCTTCCAGGATAAAGAGGAACTAGGGGAATTTGCAACCACCAATTCAACTCTACAGAGAATACTGAAGGATATTCTAAAAAAGAAAAATACCAAGATTCCAGAAATAATGACAGAAAGGCCACAATGAATGGAGCAGAAAGCAAAATGAAGAAGACAAACTGACAACTAATGACAGAAAAAGAGCTCAACAGAAATGAGGCAGAGAAGGTTGGATGATAGAACAGCTATTTTGAAGAAAACAAGACATCATAATAGCTAGTGCTGATTCAATATCATCTTGCTTTGAAGTCCCATCAAGCTTTTGTTCTTTTGTCTCCATCAGTTTTAACATGTTGTATCTTATTGGATTTTATTATATGTGATAATATAAACAAAAACTTTTATAGACATGGAGATTATACAGAAACCATTGTTCATTTTCTATCAGTTGATTCTAAATACCCAGTGATACTGTCATTCCTTTGAATGGTTTTACATTGTCCTGATATATTTGATGCTACAGTATATGAAGTTATACTCAAAGATTTCAAGGAAACAGACACTATGGTAACTACTTTTTTGTCGGGATTATCCTGTGATGAAACACTATTTTGCTTAAATGGTTATGTTTTGACCTGTGCTATTTTGTTGTTACGCCCTCTTTTATCTCAATCTCCTTTTTTATTATTTACTTTTTTATTTTATCCTTTTAATTAAGGGAAAATAAATAAAAAATAGCAGGATATATTATAGTAACCCACTTTGATTTCCTATTAACTTGATTTGAAACCCTGTATTTCTCTCACCATCTTGTTTTGACTTATTTTCCTATATTCTGTTTTGCTTGATACTACCAAGTTCGAAAGCATAGGCAACAACTGTGAAGACAATAAGATTTATTATGATGCCCATTCTGGTTGACTATTATCTTCTTTTGAAGTCCTGTAATGTCTCCAATGTTTTGGTCTTATTGGCTTTGTTCTTTACTGTTTTGTTCAATTTTATTATAACTAATGATATAGGCAATTCTTTTTAAGATAGCTAGAAGGATTATGGTAACCATTGTTGATCACCTTGTATTTTGTTTTTACATTATGTATTATGTCCATCCTTTTGATTTGTCTGACTCTGTTCTGTTATGTCACATTTGGTTTTATTCTCTTCAAAAAAAAGTAATAAGAACTGTGAGAGTAATAAAACCCCAAATGTGTAATTGTCATTTTACAAAAGAGAGGAAAAGAAAGTGCTCTGAAGGACATAACTGCATGTATATTTAAGTGTATAAGATACCATATTTAAGTGTATAAGATAACCATATTACTGAGTTTTGTTGGATCATTGAACAGAACTGTTTGCAGTCTCACTGTTTGAATGTCCACTTTATATGCTTTAATTTTGTAACTTGAACAACTATTTCTAAGATGACAATATGTAATCTATTAACTAGTGATTTCCTACTGTTTATTTTTCTGAAATTCTGTATAACTTGTACCCTTTTTCTGGTTTTTTTCTCTTTTTCTCCTTAAATAAAATTAAAAAAGAAAATGCAGTACAGTCGTGGGTTTAGAGATTAAGAAACTTCCCAGAAGGCTGAATCTGCTCATGATTTAAAATGCCATATAAAGAGATTTTGAACTGTGGACACGCGGTGGTATAACCATACAACCTCTTAGTAAATTTTATTGTAAATGTGACATCATAAAGAGAACACAAGTTACAGGATACTCAACTTGTGTGCCATACTTCATTTGTTTAAAATACATAAACACCAATGGATTAAAGTATCAGGAATATCTACACCTAACTACTAACAATGGCTACTCCAGGGAATGGGACCGGGAGAGTTGGGCACAAGGAGACGGGAATTTTACCTTGTGCATTATACATTTCTCTACTGTTTCTCCTTCTTTTTAGTAGGATTTTAAAAATTTAAAGCTGAACAGGAAAATAATGAGGAAGCAACTCAAAGGCCCAATAGTAGTAACAATAGTATCAGTAGCAGCAGTAGTAAAAAGAGAAGGAGTTCCCGCCCAGCCTCTGCCCAGCACATTCTTCCTGACCCGTCGGAGGACTTCGCCCTCCAGAGCTCTCAAAAGAGCTGAGTCCAGAGAAAACTGAAAACATGGAGAAATGGCCATAACAATGCTCGCGCAACACAGCTACTTCTTCCAGAAAAGCAAGCTAAGTAAGATTCTCACATTAGCACCAAAAGTGACTCTGCATCCGTGCCAGGCTAGGCTTCCCATGCGCCCATGCCACCTGTGGACAGGTATCCTGTTGGCCCCACAGGATGGATAACCTGAGTGAGCGGTCAGTCAGACACACTTCCGTGTCCTTCACCGGTGCCAGGGGACAGGTCAGATTCGCCTCGTGCATCTGAAGGCACGCTAGCCACATTCCCCAGAACTCACTGGGCCTGGAGCATAGACCTAGCTCCCACGCTCAGTGACACCATCTTCCCATCTGGGTATTTATCATCCCCTAGATGTAAGGTCAAGAAGTGTATCTGGGGTATATCAAAGTTTTCTCTTCAAGGCAAACAATTTTATAATAACATCAATAGCAAAATCATATCTGCATTTTACCATAAGTAATTATTGCGCACATTAATTTTTCAAACATATGCTATATCCCAAAGACGTGACATAACTCTCAAAGACATGACATAATATTAATTATGAAATTATCACGTTAGACAGAAGATTTGGCTTTATTCTGATTCAGAACAAAATACAGAAAGGCTGTGGGGATTTTCAGTTCACTTTCTAATATAACTGTGATTTGAGCGCCACCTACAGAAAATGTGTAAAACTTTTAAATTGAACACAAACATGGATTATAGCGACCAAATGAAGGTCGTGTTTATACAATAGAAACTATTTCACTTGCCTGAGATGATTTTCATGTGGTGTTGTCAAAATGTGACTTACCATCTTACATAGGTGAAGTCATATATCAATTAAAATTTAACATGAAGAGTTTCAATTGCTTAAAATGTTTACTTAAATATAAACTTTATTAGTAAATTGAAAAGCTCATACCTTACATGTTCCTCTAATGCTAAGCCAATGTATATCTTTTGAAATTACATATAACACTGTGTTACAAGAAAACAATTTAAACAGGGGAAAATCTGTCTCTCCTTTGTTTTCTACATGAAAAGCAAATTTTTTATTAATGACAAGGAAACCAAAATGTAGATTTAAAATCCTCCCAAATCTGGATTTTTTTTTATTACCAAAAGAAGAGAAAAGAACTGAATTTTTCACCAAATGTGTTTATCCACTATCTTTCTGGAACTCAGCAAACTGAATTAAAATAATTGTTCAAAATATCTGCTGTGAGCAAACATCTTTAAGGTGAACTTCTGTCTTTGCTAGGTATTCGGCTTATTTTCTAAAAATAATTGTTACTAATAAACAACTTTTTAAAAAAATTAGAAGAGCCTTCTGACTGGTTTGTTATGCTATATTGATAGCACTTACTAAAAAATCAACATCTTCATTTTTTTTCAAACTTTTTTCCCAATAAATCTCACTAAAAGTGGTCTCCTTTGTAGCTACATGCCGAGGACCCCTGATGAAATCAGCAATGCGGATCTCGGCTGTGTGATTCAGAAACTCACCCAGCATCTCTCCAAGGCCTTTCACCCTGGCTTCCTCCCCTCCCTGTCCTTCTGCCTGTGACTTCCTGACATGTGGGAGTTGTCTTGGAAAGCACTTCCTCTTTCCCTGTGTGACTCAGGGTCCAGGGAACTGATTTAGTGTCTCAGCAGCTCTCAAATCTCCAGCTCCACCATTCTAGTTCAGACCTCAAGGCCCCTGCATGGGCCACTCACCCCTTCCAAACTCGTCCCCACAGCCCACACCAGATCCCACAGCAGCCAGGCCGTGCTCTTCAGGCTGCTTTTGCCCCAGACCTCTGGATGCCCCTTCAGCAGCTGCCCTGCTCCCAGGGACTGAGGGCCCCATCTGCTGTGACAGTGAGGCCTGTGCCATCACTGGGCACCTTGCCCTTCCCTTCGTGTTCCATGGTGCAGCCGCCAAAACTCCCACATTTTCTCTAACCACCAGGACCCGTAAGTGCTACGGCTCATTCCTGGACACTCCTTCTCCCTCTCCATGTTCACCTCCGTGTCCTGCGGATGTAGGTCAGCCTCTTTGTCCCTGCACCCTTCGTGGGTCTGGTCCTGCTCTCACTACATTGTCAGTGAGAGGCACTTAATAAATATTTTTTAACAAATATTTCTTGAATAACAAATAAATACATAAAAAAATTAGATAAAAGACAGAGTACCTAAAATATCTCCTCTATTGCCCAAGAACCAATAAAAGTGATAGTAAGCTGTACACAGAAATGGTAGACACTTTCAGCAGCACTGAAAGATAATGGCAGTCAATAGACAAGCTCAAAATGTTAGGAAGACTAAAAGCCAGCAAGGGAGAGAATAATCAGTGATACCTGGGTCAGAGGAAGAGGCTAGGAAGTAGACACAGAAAAGGTCGAAGAAGGAAACTGTTGTGTGCCCCAGAAGCAGAGGACCGAAGACCTGGGAGGGCGGCTTACAGCGGACAGCAGGCGTGAGGCTGGGCTTAGACGGACAGATTCCCTGGAGCACCCCGGAGAAAACCTGCCCCTCCCCGACGGGGCTCCTCTCCCAGCTCTGCCTCAGAAGCTAAGATTTACCCAAAATGGTAAGGCAGAGCGGGAGAGAGGAAGACAGGGAGAGACAGGAAGAGAGATGGAGAGAGAGAGAGGGAGAGAGAGGAGGAGGGAAAGAGGGAGAAGCCAACGCCATCATTCCACTCCACAGAACTTTAATACATTTCTTTGGAGAAGCGGGGCACAGTGGAATTTGCAAGTCTAGGGTTCAGGGTGCAGCCCCCACCCGTGCATCTTAGAACAAAGCCTTCCCGCGGTAACTAACTGCACCTGACAAACTCACCGGCTTTGCCGTTACCACTTCCTTACACCAAAACAGACAAGTAAGAGCCACCAGGTATCGGAAGTCGAAAAACAACAGTCAGTGTGAATAAAAAGGCTCAGAATAAAAATGAGTCAGGAAAAGCAGATCAACAACCGAGGATTATGAAGAAAAAAAGGCAAAACAAGAGGACAGACGGCTCTTGGCTGCATCCTCTGAGGTACTTGAGAGGATATTATTCCCTTGGTGCAGCCACAGAGCACACAAAACTAAGAGTAGGATGTGATTTAAAGTAGAAAGAAGAGAAATGAAACCTTGGAAATTAGAATATGAACATTAAAAATCTTCCAGAATGATAGAACTAAACAACAAGCCATAGGAAGTCTGAGATAAAATGAGACATGGATTACTCCGAGACTACAGCATTGAGGGGGAAAGAGCAAAGGAAGCCGCAGGGGTGGTAACAGGAGGCACTGGCCCCCAGAAGGAGCCCGCATGTGTCCAGCTGGGTGGGCAAGAGAAACACACGGTCTACCCCTCATCAGCACAAAACTCGGAAAAGTCCACACGGCAAACACAGATTTCCCAGTGTGTAGACAGAAACAAATTTTCTAAAAAGGCTCAAAACACAGACCACCGTTAGGATTGTCAGTGGTACTGGAGAGAAAGAAGTGGAAGACTAGTTTCAAAAGTTCAAATGAAAGTGGTTTTCACCCAGAAATTTAGTCCCAGCCAAGCCACCCACCAACTGTGACAGCAGGTAAACGATGTTTTCACACCCGTCTGAGGTGTGATGGGAAGAGACTTTAACGTTAAAAAGTATTACAGTGGGAGAGGGGTTGCAGCAAATCTCCCCCAAATCCCCCCTGGCTTCAAACACTTCTCCCACTGTTCCTGAGGCTTTCGGAAGCAGCTCTGGGGTGCTCCTTCCTGAGTGTCGTTAGTGCTACTACCCTGGCTGCCTCAAAGTCCTGAATCGATTAAAAACACTTTCCCTTAACGGTCCTTTTGACTTTGGGGAAGAGCCAGAAGTCACACAGTGTGGGATCCGGCAGGTGGAGGGTGAAAATACCCTGGTGTTCCCTGAGCTGCCTTCCCATGGGCACACGGGTACCCCATCTTTGAAGAGGCTGATGAACGGGACCTTAGAACTGCTCTGGAAGGTGGCAAGAAGGGTGGATAAACAGGTTCTAAGAGATGGGAAGGACTTTGACGGGGATTCGTGGCAATGTGTCTTACTGTAATAATTTTTTAAAATTTAAACACATATATTTTGGTCAGCCCTTGTTTTATATTTGTTGCTTGGTTTTTGTTGATTTTTTTGTCAGCTCTTGTAAGTGCACAATATGGATTTCTTGTGAAGGTCCTTAAGAATATATTCCAAAAGTACAGCTTGGAAGGAATAAACCCGAGAGACAGGACAATCCGGCGAGCACGGGGCCCCCTCAGAGTCTCAGGGCAGAGATGCACCGGGAACCCGAGGATGCCAGCAGAACCAGGTGGAGAAAGGTCCACACCCTGTGGACCGCGGGGCAGGAGGCGCAAGCAAAACAAATAAATGGTGCCAAGAAAAAGGAAAGAAAAAGAAAAAAACAGCAGAAGGAACGAAGAGCTCCACGATGAATACAATCACTCTATACCCACACGAATAAAAATAAAAACAAGGAAAGAACAAGAACTAGCAGGAAAGGGAAGGAACCCTGGATGTGATGCTTCCTGCGTCTCCGGGAGCGGCTTTCATACAAGCACAACAGCTTGCTGCTGTCTGCAGACCTGAGTGGTTCAGGATCGACATGCAGATGAGTCGTGAAAGGCTGGTGTAGGTGCAAGGATGTGAGCCTTGAGAAGGTGGACGGGACAGCACCCCTGCGCAGGCACGGGCAGAGGAAGGAGCGAGCAGGCCGGGCCGCGGGTTACCAAGCCAGCGCCCTGCACCCTGCGAGGGACCCGCCAGCCAGGCAAGAAACCCGAGCTGCAGGGCGAAGGCTACTGTGCAGCAGACAGATGTGTTCACTAAACTGTCTGGAAGGCAGGAGGACGTCGGAAGGCTTGGTGAACTCGAGCTCTTAAAGACAGAAATGATACAGTATTTTTTTTTTTTGGTCTTTTTTGTCTTTTTCATTTTCATTTTTATGGTACCAGGGATCGAACTCACGACTGCCTGCTTGCAAGGCAGGCGCTTATGCCGCTGAGCTAAATCCCCAGCCCCGATATAGAATTTTTTAAAAACCAAATTAACACTGTTAAAATATTGCATATTGTTATCTTAGAAATAGTCGTTCAGGATACAAGATTTAGGCTTGAAAAGAATGATCAATCAGTCAATGAGAGCACAAACTGAAGTTTGTTCCTCCTGAGGAACTTAGAGATTAGTAGGAACTGTCTATTGCTTTATCTTTAAAAGCGTATCTGAAGTGGCTCTATATAAGCTCTATAAGCACATTGGGGGGGGGGGTCTTAGAGGTGCACAGCATCTGAGTTAACCCCATTGCCTGTTGGCTCTCTCCTCTGTAAAACAGAGCATTTCTGAGGGGAATGAAAGGAGTCAACGCATTTAAGTGGCTTATTATGTGGTACCTTATGGGCACTATCGATAGACTGATGGATCGATCAGTCAACTGATAAATAGCTTGATGAGTGACACTGGTAGAGATGCAAAAGCGGCTGTAGAGCTCTTGATTTCATTACCTACTCCTATTATTTTATTTCTTTTAGCACAGTTAAGTAATGCTTTGCTTACCAAAAAATTACTTATGTAAGACTTTCTTTTTGAGACAGACTCTTGCAGTGTAATTCAGGTTGGCCTGGATCACACTATGTGACCCAGGCTGGTCCTGAGTTCAAGGTGATTCTCCTGCCTCAGCCTCCAGAGTGCTGGGATTACAGGCATGGCACCACCATGCCCAGTTACAATGACTGTAAAAGGTCAGTCAATTACAAAGTTTAAGAGATGCTATATTCATGCTTATATCAGGAATGACTTTTTCCAAAACCAAGGCTTTGCACATGCCAAGCAAGCTATCACTGAGCCACGCCCCTAGCCCCAAATTCTGATTTTGTAAGCTCTGCTTTAAAACAAACAAAAATCTATATAAAGCCAAACTGAATTAAAGCATTAAATAAGAGTGCTAAATAAACCAAATTTTTTTAAGTCATCATAAATTTCTCTGGTTAAATTGCTGGCAGTTACTTTTTCTTTCTTTCAGTTTCTTTTTTATTATTTTGCGCTGGAGAATGAAGCCAGTGTAGAAGGTTCACATGGACCTACACACCCAATTCTTTCTTAGTTTTTTTGTTTTGAAATAGGGTCTTCCTGAATCATTAGGCTGAGTCAAAACTGCAATCCTCTTGTCTCAGCCTCCCAGAGAGCTGGGGTCACAGGCATGCACCACGACACTCAGCTGACAGTGGCAAATTTTGATAAATTTTGATTTTTGGATACATTTGGATTTGCTTAAAAGTTGCAGAGATACAGAGTGTGCCTCGTAGGGGCCGGGCCGTTTCCCCTGGTGTTAATTTACTACGCAGTCAAGACACATTTGGCCACACCTGAAGACCCACAGCTCCCGTTCCAGCTCAGTACCTCTGGCTGTTTCTAAATTCTCAGACCCGAACCAGAACATCACAGTGTACTTCGTCATCTTGCTTCTCCGGTGTCCTCTGCCTGGTGCCCTTTCTTGGTCTCACCTTGGATTCCATAACCTTTGGAGGCTGGGTGGAAAGGCCGAGTACTCGGTTTGTCTGAGGTTTCCTCATGACTGGACTGGGCTTGCAGGTGGGTCACGTTGCTTCAGAGGCCACTTGATTAACAGGATGTCACTCATGTTCCTAGCAAGTTACACTTCCAGGATCTTCCAGGCTAAAGTGCCCAGTCACGAGAGGAGCCAGTTCGCCCTCCCTGTGAGTGGGCAAAAGCCTTTCGGGGTCTGAGAGCAGCACTTCAGGAAGGCACTTTACCCTTCCAGGAAGCCTCACAAACCACGCGGGCCTGGGAAGAGAGGCCAGTCCACCTTCCCGTGAACTGACCAGTGCGTGGTCTGAGAATCAAGACATCTGCTCCCTGCCATAAGCAGCCAGGGTTCGGAGGACAGGCTGAGCTGACAGCAACTGAGGTCCAAAAGCAGCTAAATGCTTGATTGTGTGATTACTGCAGGCCTGGGCTGGCAGTGGAGCATCTGTTAGGGGGAGATCACTGTGTAATACAACAAATCCAGGGGATTCCTTCTGTCTTGCTTTTGAAATCCAATATTGTTCTGTTTTGTTCCAATTTATTGTTTTGGTTTATTCAATGTTCTGTTTTGATTGGCTTTATTTTGTTCTGTTTTACTTGATTTTACAGAGCCTGATGGGTCGGGCAGCTACTGTGAAGATAGTAAGATATACTCTGGTGGTCACTGCTGATTGCCTATAATCCTGCTTCAAAGCTCTGTTTCATTGGGCTTTATTCTCTCTAAAATAAAAATAAGTGAATAAATAACAGTGAAGTGCCGGGGTCCTCCTCGGCTATGCCCCCTCCCTTCCCCCTTCACTTGCTTCCCCGTCTTCTTCCCTTTCTCCCTCTTTTTTTCTGCTGCATTGCTGCCTCAGCGTAACTCAGCACGTGAGGGTCTGACCCACACCGTTTATCGGCGGATTTTAGCACCGGACGGTGGGAATCAAATTTCAGAAATTAGTTTATTCGTCACTTCAACAATTACTACTGTAAATAAA